TTGAGTGGAGATAAGAAAGAAGAAGAAGGTGCTTTCCAGTAAAAGGACATCTCTCCCTAAAGAACACTTTGTCTCTGTAACTAGGTGTCTCTCTTAAAGATAGGCTCTACTGTACTCTAAAAAAAATGATGTTCTGGTATAGTTAACATTTGTCTAGAGTCTCCCAATAAGAATACAATAAAAGGGCCATCAGTGATGAGCCAGTTCCCAGCAGTATTCCAGCCTGTGCTACTATGGTAAAACCTAGAATTACCTGTCTGATGAATGAACATGCCCTTGAGAGAACACTTTTAGGAACTAAGAAATCAAAGAAAACTAAAGCACGAATGTTTCTTTTACACATAAAACAAACTTCTACTGTCCTTACTTGGATTAAAAAATATTGGGAGGTCTTGGCTCATCAGTGGTGAACTCTGCCAGTGGTTTCGCCAATTTAATCTACCAGACTGCTTCTTAGAGCACAATTATGTTTATATATGCTTCATTGAAGGGTGGAATCTCAGAAATGGTGTTCAAACAAACTATGGACATAAGCTTTTAGGACAGTAGAATTACATATAATACATAGCATCTATGATAAGGCACAATTTGGATTATAGATTATAAACACAAGGTAATAAGACCAAATCCAAATAAATAAATTTATTTATTTATTTGGATGTGGTCTTATTTCCTTGTGTTTACATTGCATCTACTGTCCTAAAAGCTTAAGTCCATAGTTTTCCTGAATAACATTTCTAAGATTCTACCCTTCAGTGTAGCATACATAAGCAGAATTGTCCAATACAGTATTAGAGCTCTAAGAAGCAGTCTGGTAGATTAAATTAATGAAACCACTGGAAGAGTTCACAATGGATGAGCAAGGACCTTCCAATATTTTTTCATCACAGTAAGGATAGTAGAAGTTTGTTTCATGTGTAAAAGAAACATTCATGCTTTCATTTGTTATGCATAGATGGCACATTATTGCTTTATAATCAACTTTTATGAAATGATATGTGAGACTTGGCTGACATAATCCAACCCCCAATGAGAGACCACCTCCAGGAAAGACCTGCTGTATTCATGAATTTGGATGAAGCAATTGTATTAGATCAAGTTGTTCAGTTATATAGAAGACAATTTTATAAGATAATTCTCGTCATCCAACTCTGTTGACATGTTAGAAAAATAGCTCTGAAAAACCTCAATATTTATTACCAACCATTCTCTCCTTATTTTGTCTAATCCTATAAGAAAATAAGACCAAATCCAAATAAATAAATAGTGTGTGACATTTCGGTAACAGCGTTGTTACCATCTTCAGACAAAAGTACTGAACTTGTCTGAAAATGGTAACAACGCTGTTACTGAAACGTCACACACTATTTATTTATTTGGATTTGGTCTTATTACCTTGTGTTTATAATCTATAATCCAAATTGTGCCTTATCAATGTGTCATTTCAGTAACAGCATTTTTTTTTTTTGCTTATCCCTAGTACATGTGGTACATGCTGCATCGCCCGTCGCGCAGAATAAACAGGGGCGCGTTCAGGACTTAGGTAGAGGGTTCTGTCCGATAAGTATAATACAGTCTCCACAAACTTCACACTTTGCAACTTCCAAGCAATTGAGCATTCTGCAGTGCAACATAAATGGATTGTGCTCAACAGCAACAAAAATAAAATTAGAAGAAATAATGGAAATAGCTGAAAAACAAAAGATACAAATTATAGCCCTACAGGAAACCAAATTAAATGAAAAGTACAATCTCAAATATAAAAACTACAATATCCTCAGAAAAGACAGAAATAAAGAAGGGGGTGGCCTTGCATTTTTAATCAAGAATCTGTACTATGAAGACATAGCCATTAATATTCCAAACACATCAGACCTCGAAGCCCAAGGTATCAAAGTCTACCTCAATCAAAACAAAACCATCAACATATTCAATATGTATCACCCACCAAACAATAAACTTATTGACGATGGAACAATGGCTCAATTTCTTACAGACAACACTATTATTGTAGGTGACCTTAATGCCAAACATCAACTATGGGGATGTTCCACGCCAAACCCAAGAGGCAAAATACTTTCAAACTTATTTGACGACAATGCCTTCATGTGCTTAAATGATGGGAATCCTACCCACCATTCCTACAGTTATAATACCGCACAAGCCCTTGATATAAGTTTCTCCAGTCCTGACATTTTCCACAAATGCAAATGGCAAATATTAAAAAGTATTGGAAGTGATCATTTGCCTATTTTGATAGAAATTAGCACCAAGACCAAAACCAGCTCAATTAAAGAAAAATTCTGGAACTTCAAAAAGGCTAATTGGAATCTTTACCAGCAAAACACCAATGAAGACTTTAGAAAAGCACCCACTAGAATAAAAGATCTGGAACAAAATTGGATATCTTTCAAAAACACCATTATTAAAGCAGCCAAAGTTTCAATACCAAGAGGTAATATTAAGAAATGGATTCCAAATTATACACACCAGGCAAAAGATATTCAAACACTTATAACTAAAAGAAATGAACTACAAAAAAAGTACACCCAAAACCAAACAAATTGTAGAACTGAACTGAACATTGTGAATGCAAAAATAAAAAGATTATACGTAAATATGAAAAGGGAAAAATGGAAACAAACTTGTGAAAACCTGAACCCAAGAAACCCAAATACAAAACTTTGGCATTTGGCAAAACAAATTGACAGAGCCCAGCCACAAACTGAAAACACAAATATGATTAAGAATATAGATGGTACCCCAGCAACTAATGACAAAAATGCTGCTAATCTTTTAGGTAATTCATATCAAATAAGTAGTAAAATCAAATTTGAAATAAAAGATAAGAAAGTTGAATAAAAGGCCCGCAAGATTATCCATGACTGTAAAAATGTCACTAGCACTCATAATATTTTCCATGAAAAAATCAATATGAAAGAGCTAGATTATGCATTAGAAAACACTGACCTGAACAAGACTCCTGGGCCAGATGGAATCCATGGCCAAATGATATCAAACTTGGGCAAAAATGGCAAAGAAAAACTTCTTGATATTTTCAATAACTCCTGGAAAACTGGAAAATTGCCTCAAGACTGGAAAACTGCAACAATAATTCCTATTAAAAAACTTGACAAATCTGCTGATGACCCAAAAAACTACCGACCTATCTCCCTCACAAGTATTTGCTGCAAATTAATGGAAAAAATTATACTCAGACGACTCACCTACCACCTCGACACAAGAAATCTCTTACCAAAAGAACAATATGGATTTAGGAAAGGACATGGGACAATAGACCAACTCTTATTTTTCACACAAAAGGTAAAAGATGCACAAAACAGAAAACCAACTAACCACACAATAGCTGCTTTTTTAGACCTTACACAAGCTTTTGATAAGGTATGGAAAAACAAGTTAATTACAAAATTATACAAACATTTCAAAATTGATGGAAAAGCTATCACTTGGATAAATGATTTCCTTAAAAATAGATACATCAGGGTCAAATATAATGGCACTCTATCTAAAACCTTCAAATTGTACCAAGGACTACCACAAGGATCAGTCCTTAGCCCAACTCTCTTCACCCTATTTATTGCAGGCATAGAAGAAAAAATTTCACATAAAACCAATATTGGACTTTTCGCTGATGACATTATTCTATGGAGCAGCAATACTAACTGGAAAAAAGCTGAAAGAGATTTGAACAAGACTCTTTTCCACCTAGAAAAATTTGCTAATAAACATAAATTAGAATTTAACCCCCAAAAATCTGAAACCTGTCTTTTTACTACCGATAAGAAACTATACAAAATAAGACCAAAAATTATTCTGAAAGAACAACAATTGCAATATAATAAACATCCTAAATATCTTGGCTACACCCTGGATCCAGAAATTAACTCCAGTAAACATATTGAAGAAGTTATTAGAAAAGGAAGAGACCGACTAAAAATCCTGAAATATATTTCAGGAAGAGAGTGGGGAGCCGATGCAACCACACTAAAATTAACTTACACATCTCTAATTAGACCTATCCTGGAATATGGATATCAAATCTATGGTACAGCATCTGAAACAAATCTAAAATCACTGGAAAGGATACAACTAAGTGCAGCTAGAATTATTACAGGTCTTCGTAATACCTGCCCTAATGATATTGTACTTTACGAGGCAGACATTATGCCCTTAAAGGATAGAAGAAGCTACAATCTGCCAAAATATATAAACAAAATCAAGAGTTATGAAAACAAACACAGAACTTCCAAGTACATACTTAATTGGGAATCCAATTTAAGACTCAAAAAAGAAGGCCCTCTACACCTGGCCAAAAGAAATGAATTTTTAAAATATAAAGTGGAAAAAAATTATTTAGCAGAAAAAATTTCTCCATGCAAACCACTACAAAATGTTATTTTTAATGCCACTTTAAATGAACCCACCAACAAACAATACCAAAATCCAGAATACTTAAAACAATTATCATTAGAAATAATTAATAACATTCCTAAAAATGCAATAACTATCTATACCGATGGTAGCAGAGACGAGCTAGGACACACTGGCAGTGGCTGTCTCATCAAAACCACAAATGGCATTGAGAAAATGAACAGAAGGAACCCAGATTTTTGCTCAGTCTTCAGATCAGAACTTTTAGCCATCTATGAAGCCTTAAAATCCATCAGAAATACTAATTATCAAGATATCTGGATTCTTACTGATAGTAGAAGTGCCATACAACACTTGAGTCACACAGGGGAACTCAGAGACAAAGTAAGCAGGAACATAATTGGTTATCTCCAAAAACTCTCAAAAACCTCAAAAATTCACCTTCAATGGATACCCTCGCACGTTGGCATTGAAGGCAATGAAGCTGCTGATGTGCTAGCGAAAAAAGGCACAAAAGAACCCTTGCCACAGAAAAATAAACTTACTTTTAAAGAAATAGAAACAATAGCCAAAACAAAAATAAGCAAGAACTGGAGGATCCCACCCAAGCACAGTTGGTACAGTGGAGTGAACCCAGGAGGAGCTCTGAACATCAGAAATAGACAGCATCAAACAACACTAACAAGATTTAGAACAGGTAAACCGTTTGGTTTTCGACCACTAGGACCCGGGTTCGATTCCCGCATTGGGCACTTTTTTCTGTTTAAAAAAAAATGCTCCAATGGCCCCCGATTCTTGCAAAAGTCCAACCCCACCAGCGAGTGCAAGTAACCAAACGGGGCTCTGGCATTTGTAAGTGCAAAGTCGAACTGCTTTTCACATGTGTAGACATGTGGTGCGCTTACAGTAAAAGCAGTCGCTAACTACCCACCATGATTATCATGGCCTGTACCACGTGTACTAGGGATAAGCAAAAAAAAAAAAAGAACAGGCCATCTCAAGCCATTAAAGATAGAAAATAATAACAAAATTTATCCCACTTGCCCAAAATGTAGTTTGGTACCTGCAGCTCCAGAACACATTTTGGCTTGCATTAGATGCACTAAACAGGACCTTTGGGAGAGGCCGCTGCTCATCATAAAACAGCTCGAGGAGCATGAACTCATGGAATTCGTGTAATCTTTACACAAGGGGATAAGAAACAACAACAACAACAACATGTGGTACAGGCCATGATAATCATGGTGGGTAGAAGTTGGCGACTGCTTTTACTGTAAGTGCACCACATGTCTACACATGTGAAAAGCAGTTCGACTTTGCACTTACAAATAACAGCATTATTACCATCAGACAAAATAATTTTAAAAAAGATCAATAATCCAAATTGTGCCTCATCATGTTTAATCCTATGTTATCCATTCCCGCAGTTCAAAGGTAAATCTATTTTTGATGGCACAAATGAACAATGAGAGCTGACATAGGAATTTTAAACTGAATTTACTCTACAAAACATGGGAGTGCTTTATTCATAAATATTATGGGGGCTTTCCAGCATCATTACAGCTTTGATATTATATTTGATGATGTTAACAATAATGTTGATATTTGGTGCTACAATACAAGGTAATAAGACCAAAGCCAAATAAATAAAAAGTGTGACATTTTGGTTAAAAGGCTCTTACCAGAATTAAAAATCATGAATATGCTCTAAAATGGGATAAAATTGAGAATTTGCACTTGTAGAATATAGAAAAATCACAGGGCACAATAATTACAATCTAAAAGAAACAAAGATACAAGATTATGAGAAAAATTACTTCAAGAGACAATTTAAAGAACCCTTTTTTAATTAAAAAGAGATGTGCTGCAATTAACAGAATGGAAGAAAGAGGAAATAGCAATGATATTTACAGATATGCTTTTTATTCTATCTAAAAAAAAGTGTTTTTTTTTTTTTTCACTTCTAATTCTAAGAATAAAAAATATTTTAGGGTTCCTAGAAAACTATCTTCTCTTTATCTTTTATGTTGTTTACACACTTGATATTTGTAACTTTTTGAAACATGCTGATATATTTTCTTATTCACTACTTTTGCCTGAAGATGGTAACAATGCTGTTAGCAAAACGTCACACACTTTATTTATTTGGATTTGGTCTTATTACCTTATGTTTAAATTTGGATTAAGTTGTATTACCTTGTGTTTCTAATCTGTAATCCAAAATGTACCTGATTATTGGTGGTACAATACCTGAGGAACACCACATATATTGAGAAGCCATAGCTATAAAGTGTCACCAGACAGTACTGTAAGGATGAAGCTACCATTTTCATTCCAGGCAGAGATGGCCTGGAGATCAGAGTCTGTGTCCATCAGAGGCAGCAGCTGGGAGAAAAGATGGAGGTAGTCCGGGGAGAGGATTACATCCTCTGACACCAGCATCAGTTGTTTCTAGACATCCAAAGCTGGTTTAGACCTCACCTAGAACGTGTATCCTCATTTATAGGCTTATAGAGATGTGTGTCCTCAGATATCTGAGGTACACACACCCAAGTACAATATGGATGAAAGAAAGACACCAGTTGTAGCCATTCTCAGGTGTGTCTAATGACCTTCTGGATTAATGTATTGAATTGTGCAAGCTCAATAGAAAAATAAAGAAAAACTAGAATTATGAAAATGGCATCTCCTTTTCGTGCAACTGAAAGTTGTTGATGGCTTGCGCCATCTATTGGAATAAACATCAACTATTCTCGTTGATTTTTAATTATTCCAGAATTGGCCAAATTCCCATTCTTGATTAATCAAGAAAAGCTAACCATGGACGCATTTCGGACTGTTGGCCCTCATCAGTGTGGTCAAAGCTGAACCTCAACGACCAAAAAACTGGTCATTCAGGTATTATGTCAAACATACTTAAAGTTGAAATAGATTATAATAGAAATGATCCAGCCAAAAGAATGATAATATCTAGCTTTATAAATGAAAAAATTCAAAAATACTATGAAGACTCAAATGATAATTTCAGAGAATTTTTTGAAAACTCAAGATTACCCAAATTTATCCAGCCAAATTTTTATAATATACAATTCTTTACGGGGCATGGAGACTTTAACACATATTTATATAGAATTGGCAGAATTGATTCTTCAATCTGCTTATGTGACCAAGAAGATCACAACCCTGTGCATATTTTAATCCGGTGCCCACTTGTTGCTGATTTGAGAGTACAATGTCAAATGAAGAGTTCTAGTTTAAGCCAAATGGTTTCCAGTAAAGAAGAATATAGAAAATTTAACAAGTTCTGTAGACTCTATCTCAAATGCCGTGGACTTGAATTACATTAAGAATTGAAATTTCTAGTTTTAATTAGTATATTTGTGCCACTGGTTTAGTGGTTGTAATTATAAATATATATTGGACTTTTGATGATATGTATGTAAATAATCTTTGTTTCTTGTATAATTTATTGTTCTAAAATGTAAATTTGAATAACTTTCACTCTCTTTCTAAAACTATAAATAATTTGTATATATATATTTAAAAACTATGTACATAAAATGGTTTAAACATTTACATGCAAATATCCACATAGGATATAGCGTGTGTTTTGTAATAAATAAATAAAAAAAATAAAAGGTATCCTGAAAAATCATGAAACGGATAGTTAAGGCCAGAATTGCGTGAGACCGTGACACAATGTGAAAAAATAGTACAAATGTGATATTGTACTGGGATAATTTATGCACCTTATCCCAGTACAATATCACATTTGTATTATTTTTCACATTATACCTAGAAGCCTAATGTTAATATTGATACAGAGGATTATTTTAATAAATAATCGTGAAAGAATTTCAAGAACCTAATCCAAAAAAGTAATTTAAGCATAACTTTTCTATAATTGTGTTGTTACAAACTTCATTGTATTCTTGCAATACTGTTTTTGGTTACTTTAAATCACTGGTAATGTTGGGACTTGTGCAACAACCAATACAAGCATGGCTCAGAATTCCTCAACTTGTTTGTCCAAAACTGACAGTTTATGTCCTTAGACAACCAAGTTAAGGAGTTCTGAGCCATGCTTGAATAGCCTCTGGTTCTTGCACAAGTCCAACATTACCAATAATTGCAAGTAACCAAAAACAGTATTTCTACCATCCTCAACAAGAATACAAAGAAGTTTGTAATAACAGCCATGACCCAGGATCGAATCCTGCAATGGGCACTTTTTAACTAATCTATATATATATATAAAAGTCAATTTCTGTCTGTCTGTCTGTTTCGCGATAAACTCAAAAACTACTGAACCAATTGGTACCAAATTTTGCATGTCGCTTTTTATAAACCTGAGGAAAATTTTCGGCTGCATTTTGATTAGTATTTTTGGCTATTTCTTTTTTTCATTTGAAGAACTTTTTTTTTACGCGGACTAATCCGGAATGGAATGAATACCTAAATATGGCCATTTTTTTAAGCATCGGTGGTTCAGTGGTAGAATGCTCGCCTGCCACACGGGCAGCCCGGGTTCGATTCCCGGTCGATGCATTTTTTTTTTACAATTTTTAAAACTCATTTATATTATATCTCTTCTCTCTATATATAAAAATGAATGTTTGTATGTCTGTCTGTTTGTTTGTTTGTTGGTTTGTATGTCCGGTATACAAATTCGCAGTAGTTCACTAATTCAAACCAAAATTTCCATACATAGGTAAAAAAATACGGGGAAGATGATAGGCTATTTAAAAATATATATAAATCAATGATTAAAACTATATTTTTAGTCAGAAAATGATGATGACGATATTGCTGTATCATGTTTGATTATCAGATACAAAATTATATCGGGAAAAATTCCAAAAAGCAGAGACCACGGGTGAAACCAGTTCATTATTTTATACGCAGGAACAAAATTCTAACAGAAAAACATTCATTCGAGCAGAAAACAAAAGCCAAATCATCTTTCTATAAAAATATCGCTTCTCAGACACAAAGTTTGGAACGGGACGTTTCACAAGAGTGACATCCACGGCGCCAATTTATAATTGTAACGAATAGTATTTGAATAAAAACATTTAATCGGGTAAAACCCGGGCGTTGCCCGGGTCATTCGGCTAGTTAAAAATATTTTGCTTCAATGGCCTCCAATTCTTGCAAAAGTCCAACCCCAATAGTAAGTTCAATTAACCAAACAGGTTGATAACACCCTTGTAAGTGCAAAACTTACAGTAAAAACAGTCACCAACCACTACCAACCATGATTATTATGACCTGCACCATGTGTACAATGGAAAAAGAAATACAAAAAACTAAATTAATGAATCCCCTGTATCAATAGAAACATATCCCTGGAAGCTGGATGTCTAATTTTTATCTAAAATTCAAAAATTTTCCCATTTCACTTGTAACAAAAATGTACTGTAGACATCTATGGTCTTGTAACAGGAAAGTTTCCTCTTAAAACAAAACCTGCGTGCAAGCTCCAACTTTTTCCAGAAAGGTAACTGAATACAAATTTCCCAATCCAGGGCTGAGATTCAGGTGATAATGGTTGCTCTATACCGAACGTCACCCCGATCAGTACCTAGGTCATCTGTGTACAATTTGATGCCTCTGCATTTCCTCAACCAGGTTGAGTGTGGGAACATGTGACCACTCCAGTTGCAGTCTAGCCAGTCCCGGGAAGTCTGATTGTGGACCCCACAAGGAAGCCCACTATTCACACCGTGAAATAACGGGGACATGACAGTAT